GCTCTCTTGGTGAGATCCACATCAGCTTTCTTGCATACAACATTAGAATACCTACGACCAACACCCTGCAATGAAATAGTAACATGCAAAATTGGAAAAAAATTGTGAAATACAATACATGATGGACCACTGCCTCTAATCCTAACTAACCCTTACCCAAACTCATTTGTATATGACCCTTTAGAAACCGGGGATAACTACAAGTGTCCTTAGGAGGGGCATTACAATTAAATTGAAGAGAGCTAAATGGTAGGGTTAGGGGTACAAAAAGAATTCTTTCCCATATGATCACCATTTTCAATACTTGGCACTAGACGAAACAGACAAACCAGTGAATCCATTTTTGTTGTTGAAGGTCAGTCTTGTTTACATGGGTTAACACAATTACGTCAATGATACATCTGCAATGAATGTTCATTGTTACCACTCATCCAAATCCCGAATCAAAAAACACAATATTTGATACAGCCACCACAACAACATTTCAATTAACGTAATCACCAGTCAACCAATAACAAGATTATGAAACAACTGAAGCATATTTGGGTTTATCCACAAGACTGCGATTCGACAACATACTGATTTTAAGCAAAAACTTTAACGCTTTAGGCAATTTATATGTTCTAAAAATATCGTGTGGTAAATAATAAAAGTAACACTTGCTTTGATGGCCGTCAAGGCGAACATAATTTTACGTCGTCCATCGATATTCGTGTTCATTACACGAAGGATGTGCTGAAACTTCTCTGGGATTACCAGGGTCTGAAATATACAATCAGTATACAATATGATGATTATACATTCGGGTGTACTTCATAACCGAGATGTACTGTTGCAGTTGCATTTATAATACTAGTGTGAACTTCCATGTTTTAGGTAACCGTTCTAAACAAGCAATAATAACAATTCTTTTTTGGGAGATGTCGATAAAAAACGCTTGGACTGCAAAACAAAGCATGATACTCTTCACTGAAAGTAATTTTGCATTTTTTTCGAAACATATTAAAGCAGATGACAGCGGATTTTCCACGACACATTATCAATACACGACTCACCATGATGGCGGCTATACCGGAAAAGAACAATTTACCCACAGTTCAAAGCTGTATCCCTTTCCGACGACTTCGCCTATTTCATCTGTCAACTCTTCATTGATTGGTTGTCGCAAAGCTGACCTAAAATTAGTTAATTAAGTTATGTAACGCATCAGACTTTCGAACTTGATGTCACGTATCTGTGATTGGTTATAAATAATTTCAAAATCAATAATACAAAAATCAATTTTACCAAAACTCAACATTTTCTGAAGATACTTTATGTCTCCTTCAAACTTTCGGCCAATCGACGCAGCTCTTGCAGAGAGGGCTCAGTCGTGGTTGAGAGACAAGATGGCGGCCCACAACGATGATGGAGTCGACGTCGGACTGGGTTTTGGAGAGGTATATATACGTATTTAGTAGATATTTACCCGAATGTCATTGACGTACTTATGAAAGACATAACATCAAAACCACAGTCAAATTTTTACGATTTTTCTGCCATCTTAATCATTATTGCCATTAATTTGCTGCCTTGTTTACATGATACAACCTGTGTTGATACTGTGGATGAGGTTAGGATCGCACCCACTTGAGTCGATGAAATTTGCTGTAAACCGAAGTATAAATGAGAAAAATAAATTAACATTTAACAGTCAAAGTCACCGATTCAAGTGGCTGTGGTTATGCCCATACATGCTACGATGGACCCATCGTATTTTTGTATTCGCAGCTGGGCGAATTCTTATATATTTCCACCGGTCTCACTAGGCCGGACTGTCCCGGGAGGTACCAGGCGGTAGGCACCAGGTGTTTATTAGTCCCCATTCGGACGAATTCCGAAAATGGGAACTTATAATTCGGTCTCCGTCCGTCCGTGTGTCCGTCCGGAGTCGTATCTCAGAATCCCTTGGACCGAATCCATTCATTCTTTGCATGTGCCTAGTACTTTATGTGGGACACATTCACATGCAGTGGTTTAGCGATTCGATTCAAAATGGTCGACTGGCAGCCATCTTGTTTTTTGAAAATGTATTTTGGACTTGCTTCGTCAGTTTTTATTCAAACTTGGTACATAGATTATACATGCTAGGATACATGTTCATGACGATTTATTTCACAATTGGATCAAAGATGCAGTGTTCTCCCCAGGCCAAAACAGCGTTGCGGGCCGCGTCGCGATCGGATTTGCCCGTGACGCTATGTGTTTTCTCCGCAATGCTATTATTTATCCCGTGATCTGATTTCTTCAAGCTTCAGTCTCTCACAGACTATAAAGTTTCCTTGCTAACTAGTTAAATCTACAAATGCATTGTATTAACGCCAATTTCCCGGGATAATCCCATTTTGTTTCTCATTGGTTGGATATTGTTTTAAAAAACAAAGCAGTTCTATAAAGACAAAGCCGTAAGCCCCGGTGTCAAACGCTCTTTGCCAAACTTATATTCATATGCAAATGATATAGTCACACTTGGGGTCAAAAGCCACATGTTTCCGGTGTGTACGAAACGTATTTTCATTATTATTTTTAGAAATGTAGTCGTACTATTATTCTATGTTTTGATTTTTGTCAGTATTTTTGATATTGTATTTGTTTTTTGAGATCAAAATGTGAAAAATATATATTTATGATGTAAACAATTTTGACCTTGTGATTGTGAATCCAAGATGGCGTCACCCACGCAAGATCCAGTGAGCGTGAACTTCTCACTCGGATCGCATATTGTGCTCAGATTCAGATGAATTAAGTGAAGCATAATTGAAAATAATATATTTATCAAGAAATCGGGAATTCTAATCAAGAAACGCGTGGAAATTGGAGTGACACTTGTGTTATTTCTTGGAAGAAAAGCCTCAATTTTACATGGTATAACAATGGCGACAATTCGTAATTCAGACCTCCGTTGTCTCGAATTGTTCACAATTGTGTTGAACAGACAACATCGATGATTAAAAAAAATACATAAAGATGGATAATTTCATCCAGAAAAACTATTATTGCTCGAACATAGTAGCGTAAGTATCGTGACTCGTAACAGTTGTTGTACTTAACCGGAAAACAACAGAAACGGAAGACAAGCAATGAGAATAATCAACCCAATGTTTAATTTACCATGACTGAACAGGGTTTTATAAAGTTGCTGATTGCTGGGCCAGGCAAAGGAACAGAAAACTCAGTATTTCTGCGGGACATTTGCAATACTAAACATGCAGTGCAATAATTGTATACAGATTGTACATAAAATAAATAGAAACAAAGGAAAAAAAACTGGTCTTGTTTTATTTCCCCATATGACAAATAATGTTAATTTATGCTAATTATTATGCAAATTAGCCGCGATTCTATGAAAAATTTCTGGGGAGAACACTGAGATGGCCGACTGGCAGCCATCTTGTTTTTTGAAAATGTCGTATTTTGGACATGCTTTGTCAGTTTTATTAAAATTTAGTACATAAATCTTACATGATAGGATACATGTCCCCGACCGTCCATGAGTTCCTGAGTCTGTCCGTCCGTGTGTCCGTCCGTTCGTGCGTCAGTCTGTCCAGAGTCATATTTCAGAATCCTGTGGACCGATTTCATTCATTCTTTGCATGTGCCTAGTACCTTATTTGGGACATATGCACATGCAGTGGTTTAGTGATTTTATTCAAAATAGTTGACTGGCAGCCATCTTGTTTTTTGAAAATGTTGTATTTTGAACATGCTTTGTCAGTTGTCATTCAAACTTGGTACATAGATTATACATGTTATTTCACAATTGGATCAAAGATGGTCGACTGGCAGGCATCTTGTTTTTGTTTTTTTATGCGGTATTTTGGATGTGCTCTGTCAGTTTTCATTCAAATTTGGCACATACATGTACTTTATACATGTTAAGATGCATGTCCATGACAATTTGTTTTCAAATCTGGTCAAGGATGGCCGATTGACAGCCATCTGACTTTTTGGTCTTCCTACTATATTTCCACAATTTATGTACCATTTTTATTGGTATTTGGCACATACATCATACATATCAGTGTGTTTCATAATCAGATCAAAGATGGCCAAATAACGGCTGTTTTTATTTTTGGCCATATTACTACTACACGGAACACATGTTTTGATGTAAATAAACAATCTGTTGTATATGCCACTTTGAACTTAAATTTCAAGGACACGCTCACGACAACCCCTCCGTTTTAATATGACGAGCACAAAGAAAACTTTCAAAAATTAAACCAGGACTGTGTCATTTTCAATGACTTGTTATGAGTGTTCTCATTCTCCCTGATATGATCCAAGGTGGAATAGGTCCAAATTGCACACACGCCCAAACCATTTGTTCATGTTGTCTTCAGTTGTACTTATTAGGTAAATACATTTCTACTTTTTTGGAAGTTCAATACTTTCAATTTTTGTCTGTGTTTTCTATTTTTTGTACATTCCATGAACAATTGTAATTCATTTTCTATCTTTCCTTGTGTACAATATTCACATGTTCTCATTTCTAGAGGCTTGAAACATTGTTAAAATAATTAATTTCCCAGGGCGAATAGAAATGGATCTGTTACTCGACAAGTACCAAAGCGAATAGTGGAAATGGATTTCTTATTTGCTCTGTTAGGAGGCGAATAGCTAAAATAGACATGGTATTTGAACTATTGTGGGCAAATAGTCACTGCCTTTCCGCATATCTATACAATATGGCCATGATTCTTTGTTTTTCATTTCCACAGAATAATGGTGATGTACCGGAATTGAACTTGGGAATGTTGGATTTGACATCAGATGAATTTATCCTAGATGAAGTTGATGTGCATATTCAAGAAAATTTAGAAGATGAATTAGTCAAGGAAGCACTTGAATCTGTAAGTGTTTATATTAGTATGTAGTAGACAGAGGTATATATGTAATATTGGAGTCACTTAGAGGCATGGGACTGATAAAGCTGTCTATTTCATTACTGTCTATTATATATATTATTATTTCTTTGTTTATTAGGGTGTTGATTTAAGGCAGTACTCCAAGCAGATTGAAAAAGAATTACAACAAGTAGAGAATGCCTCGATTCAAGATTGTATCCTTATAGAGATCAAGTCAGCTTGTCAGCTAATAGCTGTAGTTTGTTTTGAGACATCAAACAATCTATGCAGCTTTAAATCACTTTATGCCACTCCACTATTGCCTAGGTATGGTGTCCCTGATGAGTGTCTTGAGAAATAAAATGTAATGTTTATTGGTCAGTTTCTAAGCTGCATGCAGGGTATTTCCTTTGAACACGTAATCTAAATTGACACTGTTCACCTTGGCACATTAGTATTCAACAAATAAAATCTATTGTCAATAGCTGACTGTAGTAAGATATTACCGGTACTAGCATTGTAGCTAGGCATGAGTGGTGTATAGTGAGTGAAACAGGACAAAACACAGCATAGATCAAAACACTGCTATGATTTCAATCTACTGAAAATGTTATCAAGATTTCGATTAAGTGATCACACTCTAGGAATAGAATTAGGTCGCCAAAAAAAATCCAAAAATCCAACTTGAGTATAGAAAGTGTTAGAAATGTAGTAATGATGTGATAGAGAATGAGATGCATTTCATTCTGGAATGTACATGTTTTGAAATTGAAAGATAATCTTTACTTCTAGAGTGTAACATCACTAAAAAAATCACAGGCAAGCAAAATGGTGATGTTTTTCTCAAAAATAATGAAGCATGACCTTGCCCTCTCCAAATGTTTGAATAATACTTTATTCAATGGAAATACTTAATTATGTAAATACGCATCCATGAGAGAACCAATGTCTTTTCTATGCAATACTTTCTTTTTTTCTTTTTTGTCCTATTAATGTTTTACTTTTATTATTTTAATCTTTTGTTATTTGTTACTTTTACCATACTAAACCCCCTGATGGTTTTGGCTGTGTAATAAAGTTATTATTATGTGCACGTATTTGTGAATATAAGTGTTACCACAGTGTAGTGTTTCTGTTTTGTGGGCTAACATATTTTATTGTGGATTTACTATGTGTGCCTACTTTTAGGCCAGGATAACATTGGTTAGGCAATACACAAATGTATAGATGTACACTTTTACAGTTTACTTTTGTTTGTTGTTTTCATCCCTGAGTTAGTGATTAATTCTGCACAGAAATTTATTGATCCAACCACTTGATTTGTCTATTGTTTCGTTATCATCTTTCAAGTCATATCGCTGTTATTTCATCTGACTTTCAATTCAATCAGACATTAAGGAGAGTCAAAATATTGCCAGTTTACACAACCAGATCTCTGCGTGTGATACCATACTGGAGGTAGGAACCTTTCTAAACTTTTACTAATGCTAAACATGTATAAATGTATGTTTTACATCATAACATGTCATCGCTAACTCAATTTTATTTAATTTTGCTGCACTAACTTTTAATAAAGTATTTTATGGGAATGACAACAAGTTCTATAGTGTTCTACAACAATCAAATTTTGTGTAGTATTAAAAGCCATGTATTTAATAATAAATGACTGTTCTATAGCAATTACACTCCCACTGCAATATTTTATAGCAAGCTAACTAACACTGTTCAATGATTACAGAGAATGGAACAAATGCTGAGTAGTTTCCAGTCTGATCTTGGCAGTATAAGCTCTGAAATCCAGACATTACAAGAACAGTCCATATCCATGAATGTTAAACTGAAAAACAGACAAGCTGTAAGAGGAGAATTGAGTCAGTTTGTTGATGAGATGGCAGTACCAGAATCAATGATAAAGTAAGTAGAATTCCCACAGACAATGGTGTCCAGTCAAAGATGGTCATCACAAAATTACCAAAACAAATTAAATTGATGTCATCTCCCTGACAACTAATAAACTTTTTATTGGTCTAAATAGAACTCAAAAATCAAAATACAGTGTAATTTAATCTGCTTGGATTCCATAGAAAAACAGAAGACTTTCAGAAATTTCACATTTCCCAATTTTCAGGAATTATTTCTAAAATGTTGAGTTGCGTTGATTAGTGATCCCATTACTGTAAAGCAGCAAAGTTTCGCAACTAGAAATTTAGTTGATTTAGTCTTAAAAGAACATTGAACTGTTCACTTGTACAAAATTTCTCGATTTGACCTTGCTCAACTTTCAAAGTTCATAAAAATTTGTCTTAAGCAGATTACAGTGTTTTAGTTGTTACATGAATTGGAAAGTAACACATTTTGAAATTGGTGAAGTTAGTTCAAGTTCAAATTATTATTTGTAAATTTTGACTGTATTCCAAAAAGACCTAAAGCAAACTACAATTATCTAGCAATTATGCATATTATCATATGTATTGATAATATTATTATAACAATAATCAGCAAAAAAATTTGAAAAATTAATTAAAGTGATTATGCCTACTTTGAATATTAGCAGTCAGATATTAAATTATTATATAATTTTGTAATTCTAATTTCAGTATAATCTTAGATGCACCAGTTACAGAGATTCACTTTTTGGAACAAATTCATGAATTAAACCACAAAATAAACTTTGTTAAAGAGCAGTCGTTTAAAGAAGCTGTGTCGTGTAAGGATGTAGAAGATATCTTAGAAAAACTGAAGATGAAGGTAAGAATGACAGAAATATGTGTGCTCTGACAAGCATCTACAAAATAATAAGTCTGGTATTCACTCTCAACTCAACCCTCTTCAGTCTTGGTTTATTTTGCTACCCATAACCTGCTCTTCTTTTCTATCACTGGGTTGCACAATGTGATGTTACCATGGAAACTATTTGCATTGGCAACAATCTCAGCAGACAAAATAACTATACGACACACAGACTAAACAAACTACAAATATGCTTTAAAATCTCTTCAACATTGTCTGAATTTGGAGAGTGTTAATTAGCTCTCATTAGTTTGATTTGCACAAGAGATAAAAGTAATACATCAGTGGAGTGATCACCTTCCTCAAATGGTATTCTTAGCAAAGTCTGATATTCATTATGTGATTTAATCATTTCTATTGCAGACAATCGCCAAGATCAGAGAATTTGTATTGCAGAAGGTTTATTCATTTCGCAAACCAATGACAAATTATCAAGTCCCACAGAACACATTGCTTAAATACAGGTAGGAAACAGAACTATTTTTATATGAACACAATTACATTGGCATGCTTTGCTATATCAATTAACTGATATGACATCATGATGTCATTTGATTTGAACAAAACACAAAATAAACATGGACAATGAAGTTACTTGTATGGCGTATATTTGCTTTTAAAATTTAGTTTGAAACCTTTGACTTTTAAGTAATATGTTTACTGTAATATATGTAGCAGTTATGGTATTCACAACATATCTTACCCTTAGCTGAGTTCAGTTGTGATTGAATATTTCAGCATTTTGTGTCATCAAGTTACCGAGTCACAATGGTCGAAAATGGACTATATTACTAAATCAATATTTAAATATCTTAAATGTTATTGAAAATAATATAGCAAGGACTTTATTAAGGCAATAAACGTCCTTGTAGTTTACCGCAAATCATTGAAAAGCCATTGCTAGTATTGCAGTAATGATTGATGTTGTCCACACTGAGTGTCATTCTATGTTTACATCAGTTCTATTTTCAGTAAGATTATGTAATAACGCTATTATTGACATTAACAATTTCCTCATTTATTTATTTCATTTTGATGTTTAGATACTTTTTTGAATTTTTGTTATCAAATGAGAGACATGTTGCCAAGGAAATACGTGATGAATATGTAGACACTATGAGTAAATTATACTACTCCTATTTTAAAGGCTATACCAGCAGACTGATGAAATTACAGGTAAATGTTATGTACTCACTCAGTGAATGTATAATTCATAATTTAAATTTGCATTCCTACTTTGAAACATAGAAAACCTTTCATTGACCCCTGTAAGCATCACAAGGGCTTTGAGTTTTATACACTTCATGACAAATCTTTGACAACAGAATCATGAAATCCCATTTACAAGATACTCCTAAATAGAGTGGTCTTGAGTGATTACAAAAAATGGAAAATAATTAGACACTATGAGTTTTAATGCTGGTTAGTTTTGGCACCCAATATTTCAGGATTTGTAGCCAAGCCAACTGATTTTATCCTTTTCTATGCTGATTACGGTACAATAATCAGTACTAGAAATGCAACTTCATGCAAAATGTAAAATTGAATCTAATTAAATCTACTATACAATTCCTGCCACTTAGATATTGTATATTAATTAAGTAGGGGAAACTGCTGATACATAAAACATATTGCAACGAAACAAACACTACATTGAATTAAAATATCAAATTTGAATATACATGTATGGGAAAAAAAAAAGATATTTGAATATGAGAATACAAAACACTGAACTCGATTGCATCAACCTCCACTACATCACTGTACTTATCTTTTACTGGTAGCATGTCTCGTAAAATTTAAATATTCATTCATTTAATACTTCCAATATTCATTTTTACTACATGTGTGTTTTATTGCAGTATGAAGAAGTAGCTGATAAAGACGATTTGATGGGTGTGGAAGATACTGCTAAAAGAGATATCCTTTCTAATAACTACACTTTGAAGTTACACACTGAGATCTTTGGATCTTCATTTTAAATTACTATATATTAATGTTTTAATAATTCAAATAATAGTTGTATCGCCACAATACGGCTAAGAGTACATGCTATCTACACATTATATTACCAACATTGGCTATATGGTGTTTCTATGAAGTGTATTGAGTGTATGTGGTCTGACAAGTTGAATGTTATTTTCAGAGTTTGATACTTTTATTAATGTTTTCTTGACTTTCATTACGATTTTTCTCTAAGCCATCACTCAAGAACCGCTCCACTGTGTTTACCCTTGGTAACCGTGGTGATATACTAACCAGTGAGTTAGAAGCTCCTATCATAGTTCCACACGCTGCACAGAAATCTGATAAAAAGGTCAGAATATAATTAATTAAAGCAAGTTAAAAATGTTTTTTTTTTTCATTTTCTTCATATATTTTTAAATTAATCCATGTATAAAATTTACCTAATGATGTGGTTATCAAATAAACATTATGATATGTCATATATTAACAGGACATATTGTTATGATATTAGTGGCAAATGGCTATAAAATAAATCATAGTTCCAAAAGAAATAATTTTTCAGTTGTCTTTGTGTCGTTCACATAGACAGTCACTTTGCTCCACGTATATTCATTGATACCCCAGTGATCATTTTGGCTTGGTGTTACATCGGTGAAAATTGGCAAAAAATGCAATTCATAATAACCTTTAAATCGTTTCTATTAAATTATAATAAGATTTCATTTCTTTTTTCAGTATACATTTGAGTGTTTATTTCGAAGCCAACACTATGCTTTATTAGACAATTGTTGTAGAGAATATTTATTTCTTACTGACTTCTTTTTGGTATCAGGTAACAACGCACAGGATTTATTTAACGCTATCATGGGTAAAACACTCACTATGTTCCTGGTAAGTCTGACAATTGTTGTAGAGAATATTTATTTTTACTGACTTCTATATGGTATCCGGTAACAACGCACAGGATTTATTTAACGCCATCATGGGTAAAACACTCACTATGTTCCTAGTAAAGTCTGACAATTGTTGTAGAGAATATTTATTTTTACTGACTTCTATATGGTATCCGGTAACAACGCACAGGATTTATTTAACGCTATCATGGGTAAAACACTCACTTGTCTTCATGCTATACCATGGCTATTTTAAATACACTTGTCACAGTGTTTTGTGGAGGAGACATCCAGGTGGGGGATGGGGGGTACCTTCATGACTTTCAATTTTTTAGCTAGATTTTGGTTACCTGCCATTGAATAAATAGATTCTTGAGTTGTGCAACATTTGTTGACAGCACTCTCTTTGTATTGACATGGGCAAGTCAACAAAAATATTGTATTTACAGGAATGAGAATTTTCCGTGAATCCGAGGAATTCCGCAGATTTCTAAGCCCCAGGGATAAATTTTCTGAAACGTCTAAGTTCGAAGAGAAAATGTTAGGGGGGGGGGTGAGAATACAAATCTTGTTCATTCACCGGAAGTAAACACACTGTCAGGTCATTGTTGTCGGCTGCAAGGGACCTGTATCAGTGTATGGGCGAAGGGAATCAACTCCTGGTGTCTCCAATGTGGAATGTTCGCGATTCTTTTCATCACTGCAATCACAAAATCCGAAGTGGTTTTGAAGTAATATTTAACGATTAACATGACTGGCTGGGTTTGCTCTGATGGGCCAATCAGTGAAGAGCTTTCATTTTTTTTTTCACCAACGGCGTCATTTTATTGTTTCAATTGTTAGCTGCGTTGGATCGTTGTTTACAAGTTTCATGCAGCAATAATGGTGAACATGGTTACAAAAGTCGAGAGATGCGAGAGATCGATAAAGACATTAGGAACAAATTTCGTTGGGCATGGCTTGACAAGAAAGTGACTTTGACCATGTGAATTGGGAAGAAAGATGAAGTTGTAACTGAAAAATTGAGTGACTTCATCGGCAAGTGCAAGGTCCCATAAAGACGCAGTGTTTGTAATGTAATGATTTGATCAACTACGGTTCTCGGACCCCGGCTACTTTACTTTCAGCTGAAAATTAAAATTCTCATTCTCATCCCTGTATTTAGCTTGCATTGTAGACCTGATGTGTAAATTAATATTAGATTATGTTTGGCTGCAGTCCAAAAATGTGAGCTTACAGATTTAATTCAAGTCTGTTTGCCTGACAGTATTTCACACATGATTTGTAAGTTTGGGTTTAAATTTAGTACTCATACAATATTTTGTTATTTATTAACTGATTAGCTGAAATTTTGTCATTTATTCTCCCGAACTCTGTCAACTCTGACATCTTAGAGAATTGGTATGCACACACATTACTGATGAAATTTGTTTCAGAACAAGATTCAAAATGGCTGAATGATGGACAATTTATATTGAATTCAAGTTATTGTTTATTAATATAGAAACATATGGATATGTACACTCAAGACTGTTATGATGCTATCGCTGTTATATTATCTATACATATAATATTAAGATATCAAGTTATCATGCATAAAAGAATTGTTCCTGCATTGGACAAGTAAGTTTAAATTATTTACCATATTTTTGCATGTAGTCAAACAATTGTATTAATTGTATATTGGATTATTCATTAAATATGACTTATTTTGACCATAGACAACTTCTGTCTTTTACGTATGCACATGCGCTACTAATAGAGTAATTCTTTATTCAGACTCGAAATCTTGAAAGTATAGTTAAGGCTGTTCACAAGCATTCAATTATTTAGTTAGAACATATACCAGTAATCACATTTTTTGTTTGAAAGGTGTTATGTAATTGATTCAGACACAAGTCACTGTACAAAATAGATACATGAGAAAACAGTATGCAAAAATGGGTAAATTCACTACCCATCATAGACTCCGGTCAGTCAAAATGACTATTTTGAACTGTAGGCATTAATGGACAGTTTTGGAACTATTCTCACATAAATTTGTTAAAGTGTTATTTCATAACAACAAATAAACAGTCATAAGAATTTCCCCATAATTGAGAACAACCATAAGGATCCATCTTGTAACGACATATTATTTTGTGTTATTATTATGTGTCGCAATAACATTTTGAATTTATGACGTAATCTTTTTACCATTGGAGCCAATACTGAATGGCTCAAAAATTGATATTTTCATGGGTGTTTGACACATTTTTGTTCGAAAATAGTTCAGAGACCAAACTATTTTTTCTGGATTTTGTGAGCAATAGTATTACTATTCGGTAAAAGTCAGATATCTGTCGATAAGTTTTAATGGTAGTCAACAACCTTAGCATGACCTGATTTGTCTAAGATAATTGCCGTTTAGACATTAACTACCACTACGTTTCATTCTGCATTGCCAATAAGTTGTTTTATTAAATAGGATACACACATATGTATAAAATATTTTATAAAGGCATCAGTGAGCGATATCATTATTTTATCTTCACATGTAAACGAATGGTTCTTGCCAGCACTTTACTGTACATGTGCTCAAAACAAGTGTATCCTTCTATGACCACTATGGTTTATAGCAACACAAGAAAGCTATTATACTATGATATTGTCTTACAGATACTGGGAAACACTTTTAGATATGTTATACTATGATATTGTCTTACAGATACTGGGAAACACTGTTAGATATGTTATACTATGATATTGTCTTACAGATACTGGGAAACACTGTTAGATATGTTATACTATGATATTGTCTTACAGATACTGGGAAACACTGTTAGATATGTTATACTATGATATTGTCTTACAGATACTGGGAAACACTGTTAGATATGTTATACTATGATATTGTCTTACAGATACTGGGAAACACTGTTAGATATGTTATACTATGATATTGTCTTACAGATACTGGGAAACACTGTTAGATATGTTATACTATGATATTGTCTTACAGATACTGGGAAACACTGTTAGATATGTTATACTATGATATTGTCTTACAGATACTGGGAAACACTGTTAGATATGTTATACTATGATATTGTCTTACAGATACTGGGAAACACTGTTAGATATGTTATACTATGATATTGTCTTACAGATACTGGGAAACACTGTTAGATATGTTATGGCCTAGGTTTCAGTATATCATGGAATTGAACATACATAGCATCAGAGATACTGATCCACAAAAACTTGGAACCATCGATACCAGACCTCATTATGTAAGTTAACACTAACCTTTGTGTAACCCACCCAAACATTATGTACCCTTTTTACTCAACCCTTATACCATGTACCTTTTTCATTCACCCATTATACCCATGTACCTTTTTTACTCAACCCTCATACCATGTCCCATTTTCACTCAATCATTATACCCATGTATCTTTTTTTACTCAACCCTCATACCATGTACCTTTTTCACTCAACCTTGATATCCATGTACCTTTTTTACTGAACCCTCAAACTCATGTACCTTTTTACTCAACCTTGATACCCATGTTTTTACTAAACCCTCATCTTATGAGCATCAGTCTTTTCAACCTTTCTTGTCACCTTTCAGCTCTTTTTAACATCAAACTCCTCAACTCATGTAGCTTTTTAATCACCCTTCATCTTCTTAGCATCGAACTCTTCAACCCATATGTATCCCTTTCCATTCAATCTATGTACCCCTTCATCTTCTTAGCATCGAACTCTTCAACCCATATGTATCCCTTTCCATTCAATCTATGTACCCCTTCATCTTCTTAGCATCGAACTCTTCAACCCATATGTATCCCTTTCCATTCAATCTATGTACCCCTTCATCTTCTTAGCATCGAACTCTTCAACCCATATGTATCCCTTTCCATTCAATCTATGTACCCCTTCATCTTCTTAGCATCGAACTCTTCAACCCATATGTATCCCTTTCCATTCAATCTATGTACCCCTTCATCTTC